GGAAAAATATACCTTGAAGTATCGTTAATGACATTTGTATACCTTCCTTATACTTTAAGGATGTTAGTGCCCTTACCGTCCAAATTTTGGTGCATATATACGTTTAATATTAACGATGGTACATGCATGCGTCTCAATGTTAATCGTCGATCCATTATTTTATAAACTTCTATCCAAACTTTGGAAAAATCCACTCAAATTATAACAAAATCCATCAAAATTAATATATCCCAAAACCCACAGTCAATTCACTTAATTTAAAATTAAGAGTCTTAAAACACTTAGATCCCATCTGGATTGACTTAAAAAAGTAGTTTTTAAGTCAAAAATAAAAAGTCAAACTAAACAGACTTTTAAGTCAAAAATATAAAAAGTAGGGGGAGATCTACTTTTGGTTTTTGACTTATTTTAAGTTATTTTACCTTGTAAAATGCTTCCTAACTTATCTTAAGTCTATATTTGACTTATTTTAATTTTTTTTATTATATATTTTTCAAACACTTCTAGAAGTCAAAAACTGACTTTAAAAAGTAGGGTTGACCAACTTTAAAGCCAATGCAAACACCCTCTTATTTAGCAACATATCTTTTCCCCAATTTTCATCCCCACACCCTCATCCTCAACAAGTATCCTCTTGTCCTTCCTTGATTCCAATTTTTATTATAAGAGGTCTTTTCGGGGTTTTAATGGCTTCATGACAGGATTCCAAATAATGAGTTAGTGGTGAATCTTCATCTTTCTACTTCTTGATGCAACTCTTCCTATTATAGATCTAGTGGGATTTCATTTCTTACTAATGAAGTTTCAACAAGAAACTTCCCAAAGTCCACGGCGGCAAAGACACTGATGGATAGTTAGATGGAAGCAAGTGCAAAATCGTAATGAATGACAGTGAGATCCATAAGATTCCTCATATTCAAAGTTAGATTCATCTCCTTGTCTTTCTGCTTCAACTCCATCTCCATCGTTGTCATTTCCATCAATTCGTCGTGAAGCTCAATTTTTAATTTCCAAAAGGTAATTTTTTTCCCTTTTCTCAAAGTTAGGGTTTCATCCATTTTTAGTTGCTTAAAAATTTGTAGATATTGATAAAAATTAATCCATAATTTTAAATGTTTTTTACAAAATCTTCAAAATATTAATCTTGGTTTAGTCTATTGTTCAGTACAATTGTTTGAGTCAAATTGACATCAGTAATAGGTTGTTAATTGTTTGCGACATTGTTTAAATTGTATAAGTTATGCTTTGTTTTATCAATTTATTATAGTTGCATTTGTTGTGGTGTGTTGTCTGAATATTAATCTTATTATCTCAACCTCCAATATATAGCATGGTGAAGGTGACATATGACGTTTGACCTATAGTTCACATCTTCCCATTAATAACAAGTGTAGATTTATTAATAGATTACTCTATTGCTTCAACAATTACTAACTGTGCTAGTTTTAGATCTCTAACATGTCCTTGTTGCTCAACACTAGCCAAGAAAATAAGCTTCTTAATTATTATCCATAAATAAACTCCTTCAATCGTCTATGTTGCAGAAGGATATGATAGAGGAGGAACGACATCCTACACCTAGTGAAGGAGACATTTTCAATTGTTGAGTCTTCCAGTTAGTCCTTCAATTGATATTTTCTTTAAGAAGTTCATTAGGTATGAAAATTAAAGTTTTGAGTAAATGATTGATATGTATTCAGATTTATGATGGTTTATATTGTTAAGTCAGAATTATGCAAGTTTTTTTTTGAATTTAGAAAGGTATTAGAAGAACATAAATTGCAAAAATTCATTCGATCTTCTATTTTCGGAAGCTACTTATAACTTAAATATGTGAGTAATAGATTTTATATGAGCATAGTTTATCAACTTCTTTGACATCGAATTAGTAGCAATAAAACATAGGAAGTTTAGATAAGTTGTAGTCTCGTTGCGATTTATTTTGGCATGAAAAAGTTTGTTGTCATCACTAACATAAATTATCACAATGTAGATATGTATGATAATGTAAAATTTTCAACTAAGACAAAAAGGAGATTACAAAAAATTCTTAATGAGATGGAAAAGAGTTGCAAGAGAAATTAGTTGATTGAGCATCACAAAACCAAAGATGTTAGTAAAGGGGAAAAAAAATGTTGTACTTACTTTAATTTTTTCAAAGAATTCTTAGTGGAAAAGATTACAAAATAAATATTTTTAAGAAATGAACTTTACTCTCGGCCGATAGATAAATATTTTATGTTTATCCATGGGCCTTATTAACTATGATATTACAATTAACCATCTATTGCAAGTGGTGAAGCCCTATATGAAGACCACCAATCTTTATGGATTTTCATGAGCCTTTATGGTAAATATAATTTATTTTAGTCCATATTTATTTTTTCATTATTTTTTGGATGCATCCAATATATTGCTCTCTTTTTGAGATAATTTTATGTGATGTTTGTATTTGAGGTTGTTCCTTTACTTCGAAAAAGTATAAGGTATTTTTTTGGAACAACTGTCTTCACCAAGAAATTTTTTGTGGTGAATGATAATGAATTGGTTTAGATTAATGAGTTGTTTGATGCCTCCGAGGACTTAGTAAGCATCATTCTTTAATTTAATATACGAACACTAAATTCTATTTGTTGCTATACATATGCCACCAAATTGTTATTGTTATTTAGAAATAAAAAGCTAAACATGTTGGGTAGGTCAAAATCACTTGTTATTATTACTAACAAGAAATTAGATGGGGAAAATATAGTAATTGTATATTATTCTAGAAATATCATTTCAATAATCTGTTTGCTTCAAGTTATGTAAACCCTAGGCCACAACTCCTATATATCCATACATTTTTCTGCACATGATATTTTTCTTATTTTACAAAAGTAAATAAGGAAATTCAAGTATCTAACACATCATGTACCCCCACCCCCACCCCTTTTCAACTTGAAGACCATTGTTGAAATGAATAGTTTTTTTTATGTTTGCAATAGCGATTCAAGCCGCTTCTCTATTTTATTTCTGTTGAGATTGGACTTTCTCTTACTATAACTGCTTCTCTTGCAACTTAAACATTTTCTTCATTTGAAGATCATATAAGCATATTATTTCTTTTACTTCAAGACTCTTTTTTAAACAAATGCGTACCAAGAATTTATATTTTAAATGTCTTTGTACGGGCCAGTTTGAAGAGGAGTGATGAAGTAAAAAAAAAGTAATATGCTTATATGATCTTCAAATTAAAAAATTAAATTCTTGGTGAAGTGTTTGCTAAAAAAGAGAAGAAAGAAATAGTTAAAGTTGCAGGAAAAGCACTTGCAAGAAAGAGATTTGTACTTTACATCAAAAGTTTGCAGGATCCCTATTGCATACTTCAAGAAAACTGTTAATTTCGAAAATTATCTTCAAGTTGAAAGGGATTTTTTGGTGATTATAAATAATGCAAGTTTATGATAAAGTAAAGAGTACTTTACATGTTTTCTCAAAAAAAAAAAGGGGGGGACATGATGATATGTTAAATACTTGAATTTCTTCCTTGTTTACTTTTGTGAAATGAATAATTATCAGGTGCAAAGAAATATATGGATATAAAGGAGTTGTTGCCTGGAGTTCACATAATTTTAAGCAAATAGATTATTGATATTTTTGGAATAATAATAATATATAGTACATTAACTATATAATTCCAAAACTTTTTGTTAGTATTATGACAAGTGATTTTGACCTATCCAACATTTTAGTTTTTTTATTTCTAAATATCAATAAAAATGTGGTCGCACATACGCATAAGATATTTATCAAAGTATTAGATGCACAGAAATTTTCTTGCTTAAACATAAATAACCTTAATTAACTATATCCAAAGGTTATAAAATTAGTCTTTAAAATCATATTTTACCCTACTTATTCAAATGACATGACTATATTTGATTGGTTAGAACACGTCACATGTTCATATGCAACACATTTAATTTTTTGGCATTTTACTGGACTAGGCATTCCATGTTATCTGGACATGTAGCATGATCCTATTGATTTGTTCATTTGACTTTGCGCGTCCTTTCATTTAACGGGACACATTACATAAAACTGCATTTTTAGAATAAAATGATACAATAGGTCCATCATTTATTTCGAAAATAAATAAATCATACCAACAAAATTGGACTTTGATTAAATTTATATTAATTAAAATTAAATAATTAATTCATGATATTATTTTAAATTCATATATATCTTAAATTTAATATAATTTAAATCATTTCATAAATTTATATTTAATAGGGTTTAAATAGTTACAATAGTTCTCTAGACATCATGAGAATATAGAGAGTTGCGTTTTTATTCTTTATCAAACATCTAAAATGGAAAGTAGTGTCATGCATGAATAATAAATACAATGAATGTAATAAGGAGGTATTATATATTAGCTAGATTCCACTAACCAAAAATATAAGTACACTAATTAATACCATCACAACAAATGAAATTTTTAAGTCACTAAATTTTGAATTTTAACTTAAAAATCACTGAATTATGAGTGTTGTAACACTCCAAAAATTTCTAAGTTAAGACTAAAATCATTCTTTATTGATGAATAAGATCGTATAGAGTGATTCTTAAATTATCTATAAGTGTAAAGGTCAATTATTTAGCGTTGAAATGCATTTGTATATGAATTAAGGTGACTCGAATCCCTTAGCACAAATTTGAGTTGAAAGTTTTCATACCGAAAAAGTTTTGATGTAAGATTCTATATGTGTCAACTTCAAACGATCATATCGTTAGAATTAAAGAGTTACATAGACCATAACCTATCAAATTAAAGATATTTGAATCTTCTTTCCAACAACACAAATTTTGTAATAATTCACGTTTTAAGTAAAACATTATTAAAATTTTAGTAATATTATATAATATAGTGACGAATTATCCAATGGAAAAATATTAAGAAGGGTTGTTTTCGTCTTTTTACCTCTAATAAAATCCTAAAAGAAGACTAATTGAAGGCCTAAATCGATGAGATTTTCATCTCTTAATTCAACATTTTCTTCTCTGTCAAACCGTAAGGCAGAAACCTAAGGAAAAATCAAAGTAGAAGACTTTCATTCAAGATTCTTCTTCAAGGTAAATTCTTCTTCAAGAATTTCATTATTTCAAACTCAAATTACTGAATACAATTACGAATCATTAATAAGAATCTAACACTTGGTCATAAAGTTTCAAGAAACTAATTCAAGGCTTATAATCAAGTTCCTCTTCAAGATTTCTCAAAAACTTTGTTCTTCAAGGTATGTAAGACTATAATAATGTTGCACTAGTCCATCGTCACACCCTACATCAACTTTCAAATCAGTAAAACAGTAATCTAGGATTCTATCCTTTGATTTGAGTATTCTTGAGTTGAGTTAATTTTGAGTTAGATCTTTGGCTCTTGATTATTTTTGAAACTTTATTCCTAATTATATTGAATTGATATATGTTATCTATTGAGATTCTTGAGTTGATTCGTTCATGCCAATATTTCAACATGAACCGTATGAATGGATTATTTTTTAGATGAGTAGTATCGTCGAGCTTTGAGTTATTGAGTTTTGAGTATTGAGTTTTTTTATATTGTCATTGAGATCTTTGAATTGAGTTTTTCATGTCTATATTTCCGCATGAACCCTATTTTGCGTTATACATTTTGTGAAACTTTTAAAGCCAACATTTTGTTTAAAACTAAAATTTTGAGAAAGTATAGAGAAGTTAGAGAAAGAGTTTTAAAGAGATTATTTGAGTAAAATTTAAGGGAACTAAATAGTCCCAAATGTATCATTTTGTTACATTGAGAAAAGAAAAACTTTTTTTACTAATAAGAATTTATGAGTGCAAAGATATTTCAGAGATGTTACATCTTCTAAGGAATTATTTTGAGTAATTACCTAAAAACAAAGAAAGAGGAATGTTTATACATTTGAGCATGAATATATATATTTATTGAAGTGGTATTGAGCACCGATATTGAGATGAGTTCACACAATTTAAAATCCCCATAAACCATGTCCGCCAACATGGATAAAGAATCATACTTTTTAGATGAAACTTTCTTGTTTTTCTTGTATAAACATCAATAACCTTAATTATCTATAGCCAAAGGTTATAAAAGTAGGCTATGAAATCATAACTTACCTAGCTTATTTAAAGGACATGACGATATTTGATTGGTCAGAACATGTCATCATGTGTACATGTGTGACACATTTTTTGGCCTTTATTTGACTATGCATGTCATGTTACTTTGACATGTATTATGATCATATTTACTTATTATTTTGACTTTTGTGTTTCCTATCATTTCACGGGACACATGACTATATCTTTAGGATGAAATGATACATTAACATAGCAAAATAGGTTCATCATTTGTTGTAAAAATCAATAAATCAGACCAATGAAATTATATTTAAAATAAATTTATTTTTATTGGACTTAAATAATTAATTCCTAAATATTTATTTAAGTTAATATATATTTTAAATTTAATATAATCTAAATCATTTTATATTCAATAAGTTTTAAATAATTACAATAGTAGTCTAAACATCATGAGAATATAGAGAGTTACTTTGTATTCTTTATTTTCAAATTTTAAAAATAAATAATCAGTTCCCTGATTTCCCAAGAAGCAATATTTAATCACAATCTGCTCTAACAACATGGTTAAGCATTAAATAAAAACAAAGTTAGAGATCTAACCTAACATTGCAAAGAACGTAAAAACTTATACGACCACAAAATAAACTCTCGATCGCCAAGCAAAATAACAAAATTTGCATTAACATAAGCTTATTATAACTATGTTATAACATGCATATACTAATTAAATAAAATTTAAAATGTAATACCTTAGTTGAGAATCCCAAATAGAGTAACAAGAAGTTGATGCGTACTAATACTCTTCAATCAAAGTTCTTATTAAGCAAAGGCCAATTCAAGAAATGAAGAAAAAACACGAACTGACCATTTCACAAAACATACAATTGTTGACGGAAAGACTATAGATCAAATCTTATTTTCCGTGTTGATACCTGCTTGACGAAAGTCTTTCTTAGGCTTTGTTCTAATTTGAAGGTTCGAATGTTGAAATGAGAATTTTTTTTACCAAATTTATAGTGATAGAGTTTCAAACTAGAATATTCGTTCTTCCAAGAAACTTTAAAAATTAACAATTAGAAAGAACCCAATTAATTAAGGGTAACAGAAGAATATAAAGAATTAACTTCCCTAATCTCAAAAATCAAATCCCATCTGTGCATGTTTAGTCTCCTTCCATAATCTAGATAGATCCAATTTTGTTTTTCTTATTGAAATGTGTGAATAGAAGTCTTACCTGTATCAAAAAAGTTGTATTCTTTTATATTACTTCAATTCTATACCTTCTTTGTCAACTTTCAACTGTTATAATTAATTTTTTCGAACGTTAATTTGATCAATTTTCAAAATAAAATCAGATTACTTATTTGATATTTTTTAAAAAAATATATATTTTTATATTTTAAATTCTATATGAAAAGTACTATAAATATTTATTATTTGCATATTAACATGATGAAAAAATATATCGTAAAATTGTTAGTCAAAATTCTTATATTTTAATCTAATAAAGAAATACATGACAATTGAAAGTAAATTGATGAATATTAGTTTAATATTATATTGAGTATAATTGTTGCATATTAACTTATCATTATACTAAATATAATTAATTTATATTAGTTGATCACCTTACTAAATCAATAAAACTTTAATAATTTTTTTACTACTCTTGCAATTAATTTTATTTTTGAAAGTATTTATGTTTATTTGTATAATTCACAAGAAGTATTTTAAGGCGTGAACTAGAAAAATAATTTTCTTATTTATGTTTTTTAAGCACTGCAAAAAATTAATAGAGATCAACTTATATTAGACGAATGGAGTACTTCACATATACAACGCCTTATTATATATTATATCAATGATATACTATGTGGCCTAAGAATGCCACAAACTTAAGCCAAAATTCGGACTTGGAGAACTTGGAATATAGCTCCTTATCTGTCAATATCTGAAGAACTATCCTTAGGTGACTAGAATGATCTTCTTCATTCCTTGAATAGATCAGTATATCATCAATGAAGACGATGAAAAACACATCTAAATAAGATTTGAAGAATCTGTTCATAAGATCCATAAACTTTGCTGGTGCATTCATTAAACCAAAGGACAGAACCAGAAATTCATAATGCCCACCTTGTTCTAAAAGCCGTCTTGGGAATATTATATTCCCTAACCTTTAACTAATGATAGTCACATCTGAGGTCAATCTTGGAAAAACAAGATGCACCCTGAATTCGGTCGAAGAGATCATCTATCCTTGGAAGAGGATATTTATTTTTATGGTCACCTTATTCAACAAACTATAATGTATGCACATCCTAAGAGACCTATCTGTCTTCCTAACATATAAGATCGGAGCGCCCCATGGTGAGACACTTGGTCGGATGAAACCCATTTCTAACAGATATTTCAACTGTTCCTTCAGCCGTTTTAACTCTACTGGTGCCATTTTGTATGGTGGAATAGTCTTAAGACGATTATCCGGGATGATGTCTATGTTGAAGTCTATCTCTTTTTCAGGAGGGACTATGTGTAGGTCATCAGGAAAGAGTTGTGGAAATTCACTGACTGTATAAACTGGATGAAGGGAAGGTACCTCGACACTTGAGTCATTAACTCTGACTAAGTGATATATACATCCCTTAAAGACTAACTTTCTCACCTTAAGGTACAAAATGAAAGAACTCTTAGGCACTGCTGAACTACTAGCTCACTCTATGACTGGCTCGTTTGGAATTTAGAACTTGACAACTCGAGTTCTGCAATCTATTGATGCATAAAAGGCATGGTACTAGTCCATACCTAGAATTACATCAAAATCTACCATGTCTAACTCTATTAAATCAGCCATGGTACTCTTGTGACTGAAGGCAACAGGACAATCATGATAGACTCTTTTTGCTAGAATGAATTCACCAACATGTGTGGACACACCGAATGGTTCTCTAAGTTGTTTAGGAGAAAACTCAAAGTTCATAGCAACATACAAACTTACAAAACATAAAATAGCTCCTGGGTCTAATAATGCACAAAAAGTAAAGTCAAAGACTTGAATCATATCAGTGAAAACATTTGGAGAATTCTCTTGTTCGTGGAGATTAATAAGAGTGTACAAGTGGTTTGTTCCTCCGCCTGTACCAGAAGTAGCTCCACTAGGTGCTCTGTTTGGTGAAGCAACTGATGAAGACTGAGCTCTGTTGCCCCCATTACCACCGCTCTGATTACTCTTGGGTCATTCTATCATGAAATGTCTGGTCTGACCACACTTGAAACAACCCGCGGAGCCTTCGAGACAGATGCTGGAGTGATTCCTACCACACTTGGCACATGCAGGAGGTTTAGTACTTCCTGGCGCCACACAACCTTGAGACTGAGTCGGTCTAGCCTTGAAATTTTGTGAGTTATGTCCACTACACTCACCTCTGTTTCTGGGCGCTGATGCACTAATAGGTGATGGTGAATGTCTCTTTGATTCCTGAAAGTGTGGTCGACTTGAACCACCTTCCTGTTGGCCAGACTCATTCCAGTCTTTTTCTTTATGTTCTGGTACTCTTCTTTGTCCTTCACCTTTTTTTCTTTGACTTGTTGCACATATAATATCAGTCTGGATATGTCCATGTCACCTATCAACATGGTAGCCCTACTTTCTTACTTGAATCATGACCCAACCCATCAACAAACAGACTCATTCTACTCCGTATGTGATTCACCACCTCTGGATCATATCGAGACAATTGGGTGAACTTCAACCCATATTCATGAACACTCATGGAGTCCTGTTTTAGAGTGAGGAACTCCCTCATCTTGGCTTCCTTCAGTTCTTCAGGAATAAACTCCCTAAAAAGGCTTCTTCAAATCAAATCCAACCTGGATGTGGTGCATCCTCAGCTCTACCATCCTTCCATTGATCAAACCAGGTTCTAGACACACCCTTCAATTGATATGCAGCTAATTCAACTCTCTCCACATCAACCACATGAATTACCTTAAATACCTTCTTAAACTTTTCTATGAAGTTCTACGGATCTCCATTAGTGTTCGATCCAGTGAAGGGGATTCATCATAAGGAACTCACGAATTCTCGAGGTGTTAGGACTTTCCTGTAGAGCTCCTCTATGTTGTCCTACTTGGTTAGTCACTGCTTGGC